TTGCAGAAATTGGCGTCTCTAGAAGTAAGCCGAGCCTTGGAAGGGAAGGATATCTGTCCACAGACCCTCTCAGATGGTCAGGGCTTACGGTTAAGAGCCCAAAAGCTTTCGGGATGTTTAGGGTTTAGGGGTTTAGGGTTTAGGGTTTAGGGGTTTGGGGTTTAGGGTTTAGGGTATTTTAGGAGTAGGATTCGACTTCGCTCTGCGCTGCCTCAACGACCGAAATGCCCCTGGCGACAACGGGAAGAAGATGCGGTCGGCGAAAAGAGCATGCAAGAACTATGACAAGACACCAACAAAAGATAGCAATTCTCCTGGCCGGCAAGGTCATCGTAGTCGTCGTCGTTGTCATCGTCCGTCGTCGGCGCCATCGTCGTCGCAAGCATCGAATCGCTGACAAGCCTTAACCCGAAAGCCTCGTTAACACTAAACCCTACTAAAAAACCTTTTCGCCCTGAACCCTAAACCTCTTTAACCCTAAACCCTTTTAGCCCTTTCAAACCTACATCTTGTTGGCCCTAAACCCCTTTACCACTGTAAACCTTGAACCCCAAACCCCCTAACCCCTGGAAGCTAAACCCTAAACCGTAAAGCCTAAACCCTAAACCCCAAACCCCCTAACCCTGGAAGCTAAACCCCTAAACCCTAAACCCTGAACCCTAAACCCCAAACGCCCTAACCCTGGAAGCGTCATCCCTGTGTTCCGTCCGAAACCGAAACACCATGGAGCCTCCGAGAAGAACACGGCCGTGGTGTTGAGATACCGCGGCCCTGCCCCAGGACGGCGCCGGTTTAAGGTTTAGGGTTTAGGGTTTAGGGAATCTGGGTGAACCTAAACCCTAAACCCTGAACCCTAAACCCTAAACCCCTGAACCCTAACCCTAAACCCTAAACCGTTTGGGGGGGCCTCCTTGTTCTCAGAATCCTACTTTCAGGATTCCATAGTCGCGCCCCTCAATCTCTGAAACTCCGAAGAATCGCAGATGAGATGAGCTGATGCTTTCGCATGAGTACTCTTAGTTTGAAAGTTACCATAGGGGGTACTGTAAGGGATACTGCCTACTAGGGGTACTATACGTGAGGGTTACTCGTAAGCTCCTGTCCATCGGACAATTCCAATCTAAGGGCTTAGCCCGAAACCACTAAAACCTCTAAGCTGGGGTGCAGAAATTGGAACATGTGAGAAAACGGGAGCTAGGGTCTAGGGCAAAACCCGGGAATACCCGACGGTTTTGGGTTCTGGGTTTTGGGTTCAGGGTTTAGGGTTTTGGGTTCAGGGTTTAGGGTTTGGGGTTCAGGGCTTAGGGTTTAGGTTTAAGGTTCGGGGATGTTCTACAGAATTGCAGAAGCCAGCGATAGAGGCTTAAGTTTTCTCACGGCCTTGTGGCATTAGGCAGAGGCTCGGGTGCCAACGTAGCTACGAAGTTCCTGCAATCGTATCCCAGACACCATGCAGGATTTCTGCGTCAGGCTTCAGGTCGGCTCTTACTAGGGTTTAGGGTTGAGGGTTCAGGGTTTAGGGTTTAGGGTACAGGCCCCGGTGATCATACCGAGGTATAGTTTCACCAAATTCTTCAGGCACCTTTATTACTTGGTGGCTCCCTCAACCCTAAACCCTAAACCCTAAACCCTCTTGGCTCTTGGGTGCTCCGACCCTTCCTGACTGCTCTGAACCCGAAGGACCTCCTCCAAGTGGGTACCTCTCCTTTGGGCCCTCGACTCGAAGGTCTTTAAGGTTTAGGGTTTTGGGGTAGATTTTGGGGTTTAGGGTTTAGGGTTTAGGGGTTTAGGGTTTGAGGGTTTTAAGGTTTAGGGTTTTGGTGTAGATTTTGGGGTTCAGGGTTTAGGGTTTGGGGTTAAACTCGACACCAAAAAGGTTTTGGCAAGTCCTAAGCTTTCGTGATGAGACAGCAAGCCATGAACACTCGGGATGCGCGAAGTCCTCTTAGTGTTGGAGCCTGATTAAGAAACCCGGTCCTAAAACCCCAAGAATATTAGTATCCATATAAAGACCCCAAGAATATTTGCATCCATATAAAGAACCATAAAGAAAGACCCGAGGCTTCTTCATCAGGTTCCTGTATCAGACCCCTCAAAGAATATAAGACCCATTACAGGAAGCCTTAAAGGAACCCCTTCATGCCCTGAAAAAAAGGGAACTTCGAACCCGAACGTGACCAGGGCCTTCGGTGGCCCGCGTCCGGGACAGCCGCATGGCGAAGACGACGCTGACGGTCTGCGCCACCAGCATCAGGAGCGACACCCACTTCCTTGGGAGAGATCTGAAAAGACGGGCTCTACCAAAACTCCGCAATAAGGGCTCCTAGAGAGCGTCCTAGAAGTGTTTCCTAAAACGGTTCCTAGACGGCCTAAACCCCAAACCCCAAACCCTAGAAGTGTTCCTAAAACGGCCCCTAGAAGGCTTCCGAAGAAGCTTCCTATAACCCTAAACCCTAAACCCTAAACCCTAAACCCTAAACCCTAAACCCTAAACCCTTAACGGCTTGGGGTTTCGGGTTCGGGACGTTCAGGGTTTGGCATTCAAGGCTAGCCCGGGGATCGTGAAACAGCTTTAACGAGGCTTCCCTGTAGTAGGGTCTAGGGTTTAGGGTCTAGGGTTTAGGGTTTAGGGTTTAGGGGTTTAGGGTTTAGGGTTCAGGGTTTAGGGTTTAGGGTTTAGGGTTTATTAGGGCTTGGGGTTTTGGCACAGCTGCTGACTCCTTCGTGATCTCTGCATCTCCTTCTTCCTTTGGAGTTAAGCTTGGTGGCGGGTCAGAACTAGAAGCTGGTCCGCAGGCCTTGCAGGATTGGGTGGGGGCCGTAGTAAACTGGTCTACAATTACGGTTTAGGGTTTAGGGTTTAGGGGTTTAGGGTTTAGGGTTGTGGGGTTTAGGGTTTAGGGTTTGGGCAAGCTCATAGATCGTTATAAAGTTATACTCCATACACTGCTATCTCGCCAGTTAGTTACAGTTACTATATCTCAGAAGGAGAATTGCAAGTGCGCTTTGGGCTCTAGCGCTCGACAGCGTCATGCAAGGGAGAACCTCGGGCTGATACCTATAGCCCGCACTGCAGAGCCATCAAGCAAGATCCACAAGACTTGGAGTTACTAAGTCGCTTAGTTAGGCAGGGTTACCCTAAACCCTAAACCCTAAACCTTGGGAAATCTGCCTGAGACACTGAATCGCTGTTCCCACGGCACCAAACCTGAAGCCTGGCCCAAGGTTTTAACCCTCCGAAAACTGCAGCCGAAGCAGCATGGGTATGCCACATAGCCTCAGGGGCGGAACGGTTCGGATACCCTACGCCTTACAAAAGCAAGATGCCGGCCATTCTTCTACGGATTATTCTCTGACTCCGGTGTCTTGCTTGATCTTCAAAATACCACGTCTCGACCATGTCGAAAACACTTGAAAAAAGGGGCCCGGATCTAGAATATGTCGATAGATAGACAAATATGTGTGTACAAACATATATAATGTATAAATGTATATACAGTATACATATTTATGCATATGTATATATATATATACATACATACATACATACATACATACATACGTACGTACGTACATACATACATACATACATACATACATACATACATACATACAAAAAACTGACTATCTTCGCACACCCCAACTCGCAAAGCCCTAGGACCCCAAACCCTTGACAAAGGGTTTAGGGCTTAGGGCTTAAGGTTCCAGAACTTGATAAGGGACCCTAAACCCTAAACCCTAAGCCCTGATTGAAGCAGGCAACGGAGGCTCGGATGAATAAACTGCTGCCAGGGGGCTGGGGTTGACTTCCGTCTTGAGTTCCCATGGCTGTGGGTCGAAGCGAGGATCGACTAAGAACCCTAAAGCCAAAGCCCCTAAACCCCTCGACCCCAACTCGGGCTTCGGGGCAGCAAGATCATCCGGCTGTGCGTTTCAGGCTTTCTGTGGGAGGGGGGGGGAGAATCGGTGAGCCACCTGGGAAGCTAGAAGATTTAGGGTTTAGGGTTTAGGGTTTAGCGTTTAGGGTTTAGGGTTTAGGGTTAGTAGTCAGCTACAGGGTGCCCAGTTTGGGATGCAGCTGTGAGGCTTCTCGGGTTCAGCTGGGAAGGTCTTTCGAACTGTTTAAAGGCTCAAGGAGATGGAAGGGCGTCTTCTGAATTGCAGGAAAAGACTCTGAACCTTGAGTCCTGAACTACTTGCAGCTGCGGCTGTTCCCTGGCATTTTGGCTGGTGCCCACGGGTTGTTGTTCGGTGAGTTCACTGGGTTCGGACTCGGGAAGCTAGTTTAAAGGGCTTTCGGCTTTCAAAGTTTAAGGGTGTCGGTCTTGTGTCTAGGGTTTAGAGTTCAGGGCTTACGGCGTAAGCCCTAGTGTCCATGGGTTTAGGGTCTTGGGGTCTGAAGCGGGGCGTGGAGCTTAGGTTAAGGGGGTGGGGCTCAAAAGAACCGAACAAATCTAGCATTCCTCTTTCGACACTTTGCAAGTACGAGGCTTCTGCGAGGGTTCTACAAAGGGTTCCTATAAAGCGTTACAATGTTTGCTACAAGGATTCGAGAAGCGGTTTTTGGTTGAAGGCATCCTATTGACCTACTGACAACCCAGCAGAACCGCCGCCAAACAAGTTAAACACGAACGCAGCCTGACCCAAAAAAAACTGAAATCCTAATTCAGAAATCCTACACACCCCACACCCCTAAACCCCTAAACCCTAAACCCCTAAACCCTAAACCCCTAAACCCCTAACCCCTAAACCCTAAGCCCTAAACCCTGGAGCCAAAAACCCCACCAGCATAAACATCCAAACATGTTCGTGCCACATATGTCGATGCTCATACTATTGGTACGATTATGCATCTGATCACTATTATTGGTGCTATTGCCAGTGCTGTTGTTGTTATTCTTACTATTACTGTGATGAATTAAACCCTAAACCCTAAACCCTAACCCCTAAACTCTAAACCGTGGCTCTGTTATTAAAAGGTCGCCCTCCGAGGGTACGACCTGGGGGATAGCCCGGATCGCTGCCTCACGAGGCTGGTGAAGGGTCGAAGGCGCAGGAGGCTTTAGATTGGAGGTTTGAAAGGCTTTAAGCTTTTTAAGGGCACACCCCTAAACCCCCAAACCCTACGCCCTGAACCCCTAAACCCCAAACTCTAAGCCCTAATCCCCTAAACCCCAAACCATAATCTAGGGCTTAGGGGTGTATTGGGTCTTGGGGGTTTGGGGCGTTTCGGAGTTCATCCTCTGCGCCTCTGGGCTCGGCAGCTACGTCGGAACCCGGAAGATGGGAAGCCGAAGCCTTAAACCCAAAACCCCAAACCCTAACCCCTAAACCCTAGATCCTAAACCCTAAACTCTAAACCCGCAAACCCTGAACCCCTAAACCCCCTAGATCCTAAACCCTAAACCCTAAACCCCAAACCCCTGAACCCCAGAATTTCAGGGCTTCAGGCTCTCAAGGTCCAGGGATTTGGGGGTCTCGGCTTTGGGCTGGTTAGGAATGTGGGGGTGTTGCAGGGTTTTTGCATGAAGGCAAGGTAGCTTTAGGGTTTGGAGCCTTTTAGGGGTTTAGGGGTTTCGGGTTTAGGGTTCAGAGTTTAGGAATTAGGGCTTAGGTTGCGGCTCGAAATCTTCGGGCTTCGTCTAGTTTCCCTTTTCCATAGTTGCTAGTGACATGGGCACCACGGGGACAAGAGACAAATCACACCCCAGTATCTGTCGCTGTGTATCACGGCGTCATGGGTTTCGTGTGTTGCATGGCCTTGCACTCTTTTTGCCTGGAATTTCAATAAACTGCTGCCTAAAGGGAACGTGGGAAGCTTTGCAGAGTGTTGGCGTGAGAGTTTGCATTTGTAGGGATTGGGGGGAGCTCCTGCAGAGTCGGGCCTCTGGCCCCATGCGCTCAGCCCATTAAGGAAGGACGCAAACTTCACGGAAAAAGGGTGCGGAAACACACAGACCTAGGACTGGGTCTTATTGCACAACTCTACAGAGACACATCACAGAGGAATCCTGAAGTACCACAAGCGCCGACCGAACAATATCTCAATTACACCTGATGCCCAAAGAATACTCGCTTGGGCTGCCAAGTCAGAACCCGTTTCTAGATAAACCTGGAGCCTTCACATACAGATGAAGCAAAATCAAATCCTGAGAGAGTTCCAATCATATGATGTAGGATCCTTAATGATACGTAGAATTGTGCTTGGGGGGTTAATTACAATGATTTGAGTATAACTACATCAGGACCTTAAAGAGAGATCCTATGACTAAGTTTTCAGGCTTTTTATCAGACCCTATATCGGACCTCTCCCAATTACGTTCTAGCATTATCGCAGCCTTCGGTCCACCTTGAACCAGTGAACTGAACACTGAAAATTACGCCCTCAACTCTGCAAAAATCTTATCCCAAAACGGGTTCTGGCGTCGGGTATCCTGCCAAAACACCGCGATTCTTCAATCTGGACCCCGGAAAACCCGAAACCCGGAACCTGGAACCCTGAACCTGGAACCCTAAACCCTAAACC